AATACATAACAAACAAAACATTACTTACACGTACCGTTCTGAGAATCACTTAGTCACCATCAGTCACTCACTCAAAAATAATTATTCAACATTCTTCGATAAACCAAGTTTCCTCAAATAAGGAAACAGATAAGCCAATTGCGTAATATTACGTTGAATTACCAGTCGGAATGCTGTCATGAACGGCAGCACTTCCCCCTGCAAAATTTATCCATTCTCGGACTGATTTTTTTTTACTCCAATATTTTTTTGCATAATTTTTCTGTCGAAAAGATGAGTGATGATTTTCAAAATTTGCCATGAATATAATGCAGAGAATTAATGATTCTTTACAAACAACTGGGAAAGGATTGGAGGAAAGTAATTTTTCAAAACCTTTATTGGAGGTATGTTCACTGTAGTTTGCGTACTCTCCAGCGCTTCACTTATTGCGGATATTTTAAACACATTTACAATGCTCTAAAATATATTCAAAATGCACTTATTTCTATGAACGTTTAGCTTTATGATTACAAAAAAATGTAGAATTATGCATTATGACTCGAAAGTATTCTATAGCAAAATTCCTCTTTGAATCAGCCGTAAAAAAGATGAATGTTTTCACCTGTAAATAACGCCAAAGATCCAGCAGTATCAGGAATGCTTCTCTGTGGCTAATATTCGGTATGACTTGCAGAAATACGGCAAATTCCGTTGGTACCACTTTTCCCTTCAATGAAAACTTCCGTTAAACATGCCCTTAATTCATTTTTGCGATCGAAATGATTTCGTTTTTCGTGAACGATTCAAAACACGTCACAAATTTCATTTTAAAAATAGTTCCATCTCAGAAAAAACCTATTCATATTCTCGCTGTTTCATATGAATAAATGAATTTACGGCACGTGTTTTTCGTCGAAATCAACGAAACGGTTGCTGCCTGTATGATCGACCATTCTTGATACTATGATAGGGATTCATTTTATTTGAAAATGTTCGGCTTTATTTTAAAAAAATAACAATGTATACCTTGATAAAGACGAAAAACAACCGCTTCAGCGAGTCGATATCGAACTCCTGTGGCTTCGACTTCTGACTTGGATGGTTCTCGAATCTTATCATTATCGATGCCAGTAAAGCCTTTAAAATGTGTGAAAGCGACAATCAAAAATGAACAACAAAACCCAAAATCGTTACAATGTCAAAGCGGAATTTTGATATTACACGAAGGGATTCGTTAATAAAGATCGTAAAAATATCAACGAAGTTCAATAAAAACAAACGAAGATCAAAACATTCGAAGGAGTTGAAAATCGCCAAAAATTAAAATAGATCCAATCAACTGAACGACGACAATTCGAGCGATATTATTTTTTTAAAAGCAACGAACTCAACTAACTTTCAAGACCGGAATGCAATACCATAAAGATGGATGTATTTCGGCAATCAGACGCAGCAATGGCCATGCGAACGGCACATTCGATAAGGTGTTTGCCACTTCGATATATCTGAAAACTCAGTTCCACATTCCACTCACCATTTTTCACTTTGTAAATCTGTTGCTTTGAAAACACACCAGCTGCCAATGAGATTCGATACTGCATAAAAACCTCGCAAGACGTTACTGTCTTTTAGTGCGATACTTCAGTGCTGCACTTATTCATTCTATAGCGTTTTCTTGAAGTGAAACCGCAAAAATCATCAAATTTATATTGTAGAAGTGAATTTTTTTAAATCACAAATTTTCATACTTGTGT